AAAAAAAACCTATAGGTTACCAGTAAAAAAATTTCTTTTATAAGGAACGTAACCGATTCTTCCTTTAGAATCAGCAGACCTTATTTAAGAAATTCATGGTTAGCCAAAGATCTAACATAGCAGGCAATGCACGTTTGGTGACACATATTCCTAAAAACAAAATGTTAGTGTAATGCACACATTTGGGGAAGACCTGCTTAAAGCCCAAATGCTCTTCTTCCCTGATACTCCACAGCATTAGGCGTAGTACAAATCCAGACTGAAATACGCGTAAAGACCAAACGCTCTTCTTCCTTAATACTCCACAGCATCGGGCGTAGCACACTTGCTATGTTAAATCCTTACCCATTTTAAATGAAAAATACTAACCTTTAGTTCCTGTTAAAGTAGAAGCATTCTCTTTATGCAGTGTCATGGGTTGAATCATAGCCCGGGATTTCGTGGCACCGTATTAGGATCGGGGATTTGCATAAGGTGATTCGGATGCAAAAAGCCTAATAATCTAATGTGTGTAATCAGATACGTAATAATGTATCCGAAGATAAGTGTAAATTATAAAATTTCTAATAAAATAACATATAATTTCGCTTTGAATAAAGACATTTTTAAATACATACTCGGTGGTTCGTCTTGTGGTTGCTGAATAGGAGTCGTTGGAAAGAACCTTAATAATACTCAATATAAAACATTAGCCAAGCTAGTATAAATTCGAAGGGAAAGTCAACAAAAACTCCGTAAACTGCATACCACCACGAAAGTAGTTAAAGTTAAATCCGTTTCGTTAAATTGCCGTAATGAGACTTGGTAGCTTTGTGGTCAACGATGGCCTTCCCAAAATGTTTATTCTCTTGAATAATTCGTAGTCTCGTTAATAAATATTTTCCTCCTATTATAAAAATCTAGCATCAGTCATAAAGAAACTAAAGGTTACCAGTAAAAAATTTCTTTTGTAAGGAAGGAACGTAGCCGATACTTCCTTCAGAATCAGCAGACCTTATTCAAGAAATTTGTGGTTAACCAGAGTAAAGAACAAACATAGCAGGTCAATGCACGTTTAGTGACACATATTCCTTAAAACAAAATGTTAGTATAATCTTTAAGAAATGTACACATTTTTGGGGAAGTCCTGCTTAAAGCCCAACTAAACGCTCTTCTTCCTTAATACTCCACAGCATCAGGCGTAGCACACTTACTATGCTATAAATTCTTTACTCATTTCTAAAAACGATAAATACTAACCTTTATGTCTAATTTCTTCTCGCAATTAGCTGATAGTTAAATCGTAAGACTTTTGGTAACGAATAGTGGCAAGACAAAGCCATTATTCAGAAGAACTTTTTTCTCCTAAAAATAGGATATTAGTAAGATCGGCAAAATCGTTAAATTTACTGGTACTGTATTCTAAAAATTGATTCATCTCACGTACCATGATCATAAAAAAAAAAAAAACAATACTAAATTTATCTTAGATTAATATAAGGCCATATAAATAAAATTATTTGTTTCTCATCAGCGGCCGGGTCATTTATTTTTCTAATCTGTGTTCATATTATAAGACATAAATGTTTTACCGGGTGAAAAAAAAAAATTTTTTTAATCAATTATATTTTAGAAAAGGGTTAATTTTTTTAAAAAAATAAAATTTATTTCCCGGGTGGCCGGGTCACTTTTTACTATTTATAGTG